CATCGATATGGGAGGGTTGCCATCCTAGGTCCAAGACAGTAGCATACAAAGCAGCGATGGGACCGCGAACGAACCGCCATCGGTCAGACGCACGAGCACGGCCCACTGTCGCATGCAATTGAGACCAGACCTTTCGAGCTCCACCGCGCAAACCTTCAGACAAGGATGACCACACTTCAGAGATTGGGGTAAGTTGTTCAACACGTAGCCTATAGACAGGATCATCCTTAGTATCATGCAATACTCGCAATACGCTGGTAGTACATGCCCCCGACGACCAGAACCCCGAACAGGAAGCCGCGGAACCTCTAAACTGCTTCAATATTCCAGGTGGAAGTCCAGACATAGCATGCCCCCAAGAGCCCACTGAGAGGATGCCAGGCTTGAAGACCTTACGCGAAGCTCCACACAACCTTGCAAGGTAGGACAGCTTACGACCACGTCGGAATGCGATAGCACGTCTCTCATATGTTTTCCACGCAGTGCGCCTTCGGCCAGCTGAGGTGACTGTGCCCAGGTCCTTCACACTGGGCGAGAAGGTGATGGAAACTCCATGCTTCTTAAACTCTTCTTGAAGGAGTCGCTGCAACTCCATAGACGAGGCAACTGCAAGAGACTTCGGGCTGACCACACAGCCAAGACCTGATATATCATGCTGGAAAGCCGCCGCCGCAGGCGGCAAATAACGACGAATAAACTCTCGAGTGCCCTGCAAGTACTGGGTGATGTCGTCAACATAAGACCTAATGGGAACACGGACCTGTGGGAGATCACCAAGGCCCTGTGGAACCCTGCTATGGGCCTTCTCCAGTACCCCATACAAGTAGCACTTCACCCAGGGCATACTCTGACTACAACCCGCCAGGATAGACTCCCCAGCCTCAATAACCCGAGAAAGGTTGCCAGAAACCTCCAACAGCCTCGGAGCAGTGTGGATGAGGAGCCCCAAATACAGGAGGTGCCCAGGGTACCCACGGTTGGTGGCAAAGTGGAGGAGCTTGCAGGGGCTCACGGAGTCGAAGAACTTCTCGAGGTCCCAATGGAGCGCACAAGATTCGAACCCACATGCACGGGCCACTTCATGGGCCAGTTCACGAAATAAAGCAGCCTTAAGAGCAGAGGACCCTTTGACAGCAGAGTCCCAGAAATCCAGATGCTCTTTATTCCAATCATCGATATCAAAGCCGCGGGCTTTGCAGTAGATTCTGTAAAGACTAGGGCACTTGACAATGGCACGCTCATCACAAATCGACTTAGGCAGCATGGCCATGAGGCAGACATAGCACTGAGGAGGAAAGCTCAAAGTTTGCTCAACTTGACGCATGATACCTGTGAACACTTCGAGGGAGTCGATGGGAGCGGAGAGCAAACTGCGCGGCGCCAGCATGTCGACGCCTAGCGACGTGTGTGGCTTGAAACATGTACAGGCCTTAGCAATGTCATGCACTTCAAGCGGGTCCAAATCTTGCGAAACGACCAATGCTTGCGAACGAAGCTCACGAAGGCCTGCCTCCAGACACACGCGCTGTTCAGAGTTTGGGGTCCACCATTTACTCCACTTCCGTTCCCGAAAACTCATCATCGAGGTAGGGGTGTCCACGATACCCTCAGGAGCCAAGAAATACTCAACGCAAACTTTCTCTTCAGCTTTCAAATAGCGGTGAACGGGACTAGCACCTCTGGGAAGGGATGACTGCAACCAAGTGCGCATGCTGCCCCTGGCCTTGGCATGTGCGAGAGACCATGCACGAGTACACACAACACCTGCAGCCTCAACGAGTTCTTCCAATCTATGACACAAGTAGGGAGGTTGGTTCAAGGAATCCTTCCACGACACAGCTGCTTGAGAACTCGCAAGAGGCTCGATGTGAGAAAAAATGTGGCACGCCAAATCGGCCAAGACGCGCCTGTGCTGCATCGCGGCCTGGGAATACGGATCTTTTCGAGTCAACTTCATCAACTCATACAGGCGACTGGAAACAAGAGACCAATCTGACAGGTCAGGGTTCTTGAAACTCTGCGCCTGCACGTTGCGGGTCATCGGGGACGAGTCCTTACGCTTCAGCATACAACCCCTGCCTAAGTAACGGTGCGGGTCAGTGACAATGGCACATGCACGAGACAGACCACGGAGCTCCATTGCTCTAGACCAGATAGAGTACTGTATCCCAAGACTCCGAGACAAACCTTCCAACGTATGAGCGGGCATCGCCTGGTGGAGGTCCTCGGGCATCACCAAGGGGGCCTCCAGCAAACTGGGAGCGGCGGCAGCCATGTAACTCAACCAATGGTTATCAGGTCCATACGCTTCAGGGATCTCCAGGGGCTTCACACGGAGACAGACGGGTTCCACCATAGCCTCAAGGTCCAACAGCACGTCGAGGCACGCATGGGTCTTGAACGGGGACAGGAGGTCGGCGGAGACTCGCAGATATCTAGACAACCGATTCGAACAGACAACATAGTCAATCAAGGTCTCACCAACAGAACAGGTGAACTCAACGTTTTTGGGAACCAGGGCCCTAGCGTCCATCAGCTCCAGGATACCCGAATCCTCCAGGAAATCGGCAGACATGTTGTAGTCCCCCATCAGGAACCACGGGATAGACAGCCCACGGACAAACTCGGCAACCGCACGAAGCCGAGATGAATTCTCACCAGAGACTCCAATGGAGGGAATGAGGTAGATCACACCTATTGCAACAGTGCATGACTTCATACGCATCTCAAGGAAGAACCAACAATTTCCTGCTCCAACCTGGACAGCACCCTTAGCTTGAATCAGGAACTTCCGTATGCTCAACCTGGGCTGTACAGCAGCCCCGACTCCTCCATGAGTGCCTCCACCTGGGGACGGTAAAGCACTCTGGAAATGAGGATTCCACTTCATCTGCCGACAGGTCTTCTTGGCACGGAACAGGTTCGTCCCTTCAAGGTGATGTTCCGCCATGAACACTCCATCCACCTCAGCGACCTTAGTTGCCAAGAAGTCCTGAGTCAGCTTGGACCACTGTGTGACATTCACAAACTTAAACTTGACCTGAGTGCTCGCAGCTGGCAACTGACAAGGTGCTAGCGAGCATGTGCCTCCGGCTCGCTGGGCCGAAGGCAACAGATCATTAAAGAGGCTGCTGCGAGCGGGCGTCAGAGGCGGCAGCACGCCCAGCGCCTTTCGCAGCGGGAGCAGCATCAGGGAGATGTCCAGGTGGTACGGCGGCGGCCACACGAGGAACCCCCATCTGCTTGGCCGTGGCATCACAGAAATTGCGGTACATGTCGGCCGTGACGGAGGAAACCACCCTGGCACGCTTGCCCGCCTTCGCCATGATGCGCTTGGAGAGGAGGTCGGTATACTCCTGGGCCGCCTGCACGTCCAATCCCTGCTCCACCGCACGCCTCTTGAGGTCACGGTACCTGTCACGATCCTGGGGCTCCATGTCATTGTCGGCAACCTCACTGCCCAGGTCGGAAAGGCTATCTTCGTCAACGCCAACGCCTCGCATCCGCTGCAGATGGAGGCGGTACTGCTGCCACTGCTCAAGGCCGATGGCCGAGAAGGCAACCAGCTTCTCGAGGTCGTCATCGGAGAAGGTGTGCAGGTTGGCCTCCACGAACATGTAGTCCACAACCTTGCCGCGCAACCAAGGGACATCAGCATCATCCTCCTCCATGGGCTGTGGCTCCTGCATGGGCGGCGCCTCCATGCCGCCGCTGGCCTGGGCACCTGCTCCCGCGGCGGCCGCGTCTCCAGTGCCAGGGGCACGAGAGGCGGCCGCAACGCCCGCTGGGGCGGTGGCGGGTGCTGCACCGAGGTCGCCAGCGGCGGGGGGCACTGAAGCAGCAGCGCGAGCATCCGCGGCAGCACGAGCCTCTTCGGCGGCACGCTGACGACGGCGCTGCTCAACTTCATGACGCTTCTCCTTCTTGAAGGTCTGTACGTCGAATGAGGCCTTACGTTCATTAGCTTCACGAGTGGTGGCTCGAGCCTGCTCCAGCTCCTGTACCGCCTCCAAGTGCAAGCTCTGTGCCTCGTCCATATGCTTCTTCGCCTTGTTGTACCTGTCCAGCCGCCACTGCACCTCCTGGTGCGCCAGGCGCTCGGCCTTGGTGGCCTGCTCGACGGTCTTGGCGAGGGAAGTCTGTTCCGCAGCTGCCATACGATCCAATTCCACGTCAGTATACTCCTGCAGCGGCGGGGCCGGCGGCGCAGCTGCTTCACGAGCGACGCCAGCAAGAGCGGGGTAGTGCGCAGCCCACCGTTCAAGCTCTTGGAGAAGATGGGGTGGCATGGGCACCGCAGCAGCACCCGGTGCAGCCCCTCCAGGACAAGGATCAACCACATCACCATCATGTGCAGCAGACGGTAGGTACTGGCCACCGCACCTGCTGCATGCGCGGTGGCCATGGTAGAGGAACTCCCAGTGCGCGCAGAGGCTGCAGACACCGTAGGAGAGGTCCTTCTGCTTCTTCTTCTTGTTCTTGGGCTTGGGGGTGGTTGCGTCCAGGTCATCCTGCCAGACCCATCCACCTTTGGGCGCATCACCTCCTTGGTTGCGGCGGCCATCGCCACGCCAGGGAGCATTGCCACGCCAAGCCATGCCGAGAGAAAGTGGGAGTATGTGGAAAAGGAACGCCAGGCCACAGGTGGCCTTGCCTGCCGCGGACTAGCGGTATCCAGTCTTGCCAATGCGGGCTCAGCCCGCGGAAGCATCAGCCTTGAGCCAAAATGGCTACGGAAGAGGAGGAGGAGGAGGAGGAGGAGGAGGAGGAGGAGGACGAGGAGGAGGAGGAGGAGGAGGAGGAGGAGGAGGAGAGTTGAGGATGATGCGTGCATGAGAAAGGGGAAGAGGACGTGAACATGGTGGAGGAGGCGGAGACTGAGAAAGATGGGAATGAGGAGCAGGAGGAGGATGATCAGGTCAAGGAACACGACGATCAAAAATGGAGAAAGAAGAGGAGGAGAAGGCGAATAAGCAAGAAACGCTCCCCAAGGAAGTTGCCTGAGGACGGCGGCGCGTAGTACACTGCTGGGCCTCTCCGGTACACGGCCTGCCGGGCGAGGCGGCAGGAGGAAGATAAATAAGATGGAGGGTCAGGAGGTGTAGGAGAAGGGTGAGGGCGATGAGGACGAGGCAGATCAGGAGACGGTTGGAGTTGCAAGGGCGAGGGCATGTGCTGGGGCAGGAAGAAGCGGACGAGGAGATGGAAGGACAGAGGACGGATGATGGGGTCGCACAAATAGAGTCGGACTCCGAGGAGGCTGCCCATACTGACCACGGGACGTGCCAACGACGCTGCAACACATCTTCCCGTGCCGAATGCCCTCCTGGAAATCCCTACAGGTGCTCGTGTCCACAGCGGGCAGCGCCCCGGTAAACGCCCCGATGGTCTGCCATGAAGAAACACGCCCCGCTTCGAACAGGCGCCGCCATGCGAATTAAGCGTGGCAGCGTTGAGAACGTAAACGTCAAAACGGTGTCAAACGACCACACTATGGTGGAAAACAGCTGTCCCCCCAGCCGCGCAGTCATTGACAAGTTTACCTCCCTGGGTATAAGATGCTGTAAGCCGACGACGGTCTCAAGCAAAGGCCTGATTCGGCAAAAAGGGCCACCATCCACCATTGTGTGCGGGACAGCGTCCCAATCATTAGTAGCGGTCCAAGATGGCCCGCGAGAGCCTCCAGAGGGTTCCCAAAACGGCCCAGGAGCGCGCCAATACGGCACAAGAGAGTGCCTAGACGGCCCAAGAGAGCTCTCCACAATAATCCGAGACGTGCCAAGACGGCCGAGGGGCCCTCGAGGACCCTCAAAACGGCCCCGAAGGAGGACTTAAGGCAGCCTTCAAGCAGTCCAATGAAGACCCCCCGAGTCTCAGACGGATCAAGAGCCAAGGGAGCCCCGAGACGGATTTAACATGGCTCACAGACTCTTCGATGTCTCCAGAGGCCTCCACGATGGCCTCACGAGAAGAGGAGCCCCCGAGCCACTCTTGGGACCTCCTTCGGGCGCTCATGGGCCCTTTTTTATCTGGGACCATCTGGGCCGCTCCCAAAGCCGACTTCAGGAGGCAAAAGCGAATATACACAATAAACAGGCAAGCCGTAGAGGTTGACTCTGCAGTCATCGTGCTGCCGTGAGCAACGGAGGCGCCTTCCTGGCCACGGCGGGCCTCGGCCACGAGTGGGTCTCTCCCGACCTGCATCTCCTCATCCGCCCGAAAACCATGGCCCCTTCTGAACTGAACGTGGTCCTTGGAGCCAGAGGCCTCTTGGAGCCAGAGGCCTCTTGGAGCCAGAGGCCTCTTGGAGCCAGAGGCCCCTTGGAGCCAGAGGCCTCGAGGCCTCCTTTGAGCCAGAGGCCTTTCTTTGGAGCCCGGGCCCTCTTGGAGCCAGAGGCCTCGAGGCCCGACGAGGCCCCCCCGCGGGTCGAGCGCTCCACGGCGGGGACCTCCTCGACGCGCGCGCGCTGCCCTCGAGGCCTCGCCCCGCGAAACCCGCGCGGGTCGCGCTGGCCCACGGGCCAACGGGAAACGCCTCGCGCGGACCCCGCGGGGTCTCCTTGGGCCTGTGCGAGGGCACGGGGGAGGTAGGAAGAAAATAGGCCCCCCGTGGGCCCCGGAGGCCCTTCCCGCCGATTGCATGAGGTTCCTCCTCCTCTCCTCTCCTCCTTCCCTCCTCTCCTCCTCCTCCTCCTCCTCCTAATCCTCCTCCTAATCCTCCTCCTCCTCCTCCTCCTCCTCCTCCTCCTCCTCCTCCTCCTCCTCCTCCTCCTCCTCCTCCTGCAAGGAGGAGGAATGGTGGGAGAAGCGGGAGGAGGAGGACGACGAGCAACACTAGCAACAGCAGGTGACGAGGGCAGAGACAAGAGAACAACGGAGTTGGGAGCAACATAGCTGACAAAACAATCAACCGGGAGGGACAAGCAGGTACCGCTACCACTACCCCCAGGACCTCTCCAGGGGTGCTTTCTGACCCGAATTTCAAGGCGAATCGAGCCGTGCCAGCGATGAGGGGAGGGTAGCAGTATCGGCATTCCTTCCTCGCCAGATCAGCAAGTAGGGAGGCCTCCAGGAGGCAAGGGATAGGGGAGGGGACGAGGGGAGAAGACGGGACCGAGAAGGGATACGATAAACGGAAGAGAAGCAGAGTGGAGCGTGACCAGAAGCACTACCATGAGGTCCAACACGCACAGAGAAACCTGCTGTTGCAGATGTTAATGCTGCTGATGACGATGGTGATGGTGATGGTGACACCAATGGTGATGATTATGATGATGATGATGACGATGACCATGATTTTTTCTTCCCCCCAACCACAACGCCACCAAGCCCCTCCAACACTACAGTCCATCAGTGCCCAACTGCTGGAAGCCGTTGCCCATGGCTCCTCCACCGGAGAAGCACCGGCAAACATTAAATGCCCAAGCAGATTCGCCGGGCGGCAAGGAAGTGCACAATGGCCAAACCGTCAGATGCGTGCCAACCTATGGGCCCGAGCCTGCAAAGAGCGAGCGAACTACAAAGTTGTGTGAACACCCCTATGGCACAGACGGCCACAACAACAAAACCAGCACAACTAAAGAGCAACAAGCAGGAAGGAGAAAAGAACAGCAGAGGAAGAGAGAGAGGAAGAGGAAAAGACGAGGCCACGGAGAGTTGCCGAAAACGCTCTGTGTGTGAGCATCCCACATGGTCCCACCGACCATTAATATAAGCAGGTCGCACACAACAGCCGGCAAGCGGGGGCAGCACAGCACACAACGAAGGCACGGGCATCCCTGTATGAGTGGGGCGCCGAAACAAGACGCGAGGAAACTGGGCGAGGATCGCACACCAGATAAGATGTAAAAGCAAAGCTAAGCTACGCGGGTGCGGCGAGGCCGCATGGAGACACGCCGGTGACGGCGACTGCGCGGGCCAGGAATACGGGTAATGGTAATGATACGGGTAATGACCATGATGGTGATGGTGATGATACGGGTGATGGTAATGATATTGATGCTGCTGCTGCTGATGATGATGATGACGACGTCGACGACAACAGCGATGCTGATGGTGATACCGACAATGATGATGATGATGCTGACGATGGTGATGCTGATGATGATGATGATGATGATGAGGAGGAGGAGGAGGAGGAGGAGGAGGAGGAGGAGGAGGAGGAGGAACAACATCACCGAATACGAGTGCAAATGGGACCGACTGCAGACGGCACGGGCACCAGAGAGGACACGAACCCGCTCCGAGTGCACACCGTGCGGCAGACGCGACGAGGGCATGACGTGCGGCAGACTGGACACACCGACCAGCCACGACTGGGGGAGCTGTGGATCCCTACCCCCCTGAGGCAACCCCTCGCGCCGACGATCCCTCGAGGAGGGGCGTCGAAGTCGATGGGCCCCCCAGGATGGTAAGGACCACAGCTCCCCCAGTTGTGGCTGGCCTGGCACGGGGCTGTCAAACAGGGCTAGGATCAGGATAAATCGCTCCAGAGCGTTCCGGAGCGCTCTCAGAGCGTTCCGGAACGCTCTGGAGCGGCCGCGGCGCCCACTACATCCTCCAAACCCGCCGATCCTCAGAGATTTCAAATTATCCCGATCCGATTTTGTCCCGATCTTCGCGTCGTTTCAGGCTGCCTTGGCATCCGTGGTTTTGCAGGCCTGTGGCAGCGGCAGCAGCGACCACGGGGACGCGCGGCAGCAGGCGACACGGGCCTGGCCGGCCGGCACCCGCAGGCTCCCCGCAGGCTCCGCCGCGGCCGAGATGCCCAACCGGACCTGGGCGGCGGCCACACGCGGATGGGGCGCGGGAGGCACGGAGGGGACGAGGGAGAGGAGGATCGGGAGTCCCCCCCCATCGCCGTCGCCCCTTCCCTCCCCCTCCCCCTCCCCCCCCCCTCGATCCTACACCCCGCTGGAAAAGAGCAATGCCACGTTTGCAGGCCGTGCCGGATGATCATCCGGGAGGACTTCTTTGTGGGTAATGTTTCGTCCCGGCTCGTTTTTCTTACGGCTAGGGGGGGCTCGACCCCCAGAGGCCAGCGACTGCGAAGCGCCACACAGGCGACAGCAACAGACCTCATCGACCATTAAATTTGTACAGGGCAGTGTTTCATACATGGGATTTTTGTTTATAAACGTATGAGGTTAATACATGATTGATGTATGGATAAATTTATGCATGAACTCATCGTTGTTTGTAGTACGAAATCCCTGCATTCTCAATACATGATCCGCACGCGGAGCATGTATTAAAAAAAAGGCACTGTATTACTTTCCAGGGCAGTGCAGCCCTTCTCCATCCTCCTCCCTTCTCCTTCCCCTCCTCCGCTGCCCTGCCCTACGTCCCCGCTGCTCCCATCTCGAGCCCTGGGCCCCCTTCCCCTGCCTCCTGTCCCTCCCCTTTCCCCGACCCCCCCCCCTCGCCTCTGGAGGAGACTGGGGATGAGGACGGGAGGGAGGGAGGGAGGGGGAGGAAGAGTAGGAGGAGGAGAAGGGAGAGGAGGGAGGATAAATGTATGAGAGAGGAGGGAAGAGGAGGAGGAAGAGGAGGAGGAGGAGGACGAAAAGGGGCAGGAGGAGCAGGAGGAGGGAGAAGGAGGGAGAGAGGGATGATGTTGATGACAATGACGGCAATGATGATGATGCTGCTGATGATGATGATGATGATGACGACGATGATGGCGATGATGATGATGATGATGATGATGATGATGATGATGACGATGACGATGATGATGATGATGATGATGATGATGATGATGATGATGATGATGATGATGATGATGATGATGATGATGATGATGATGATGATGATGATGATGATGATGATGATGCTGATGATGCTGATGATGCTGCTGATGATGATGATGATGATGATGAGGAGGAGGAGGAGGAGGAGGAGAAAGAGCAGGAGGGAACGGGCGCAGCAGGGGGAGGAGGGAGGAGGAGGAGGAGCTGCTCCCCAGACCCCCCCCCCTCCGCTTGGCAGGGTCCCGAGGGGCCGGGGAGCCGGTCCGCGTCTCCGCGGTCCCGCGGCAGGCCGTCTCAGCGCCGCGCCGGAGGAGTCGCGGCCCACCAGCTGGGGGGGGGGGAGGAGGGGGAGGGGAGAAGGAGGAGGGGGGGGAGGGGGAGGGGAGGATGAGAGGGGGGGAGGAGAAGAGGAGGAGGGGGGGGAGGGGGAGGGGAGGACGAGGAGTGGAGGAGGGGGGGGAGGGGGAGGGGAGGACGAGAGGGGGGGAGGGGGAGGGAAGGATGAGAGGGGGGGAGGGACCACCATCTGGAGGGGGTGAGAGGGAGATGGGGAGGACGGGAGGGGAGGAGGGTCCTCCGCCTCGTGCTCCTCCTCCTCCGCCCCTTCCTGGGACGAGGAGGAAGGGGAGAACTATGCTTGGCACGACGTTGACGGGTTTTGAAGAGAAGGGGTCCTAGAAACCCAGGGTCTTCGCCTGGGACTAACTCTTCGTCCTGAGTCGTTTTCTTACGCTCCCGGAAGACCTAGAGGGCCCAGGATGACAAACACGCAGGGACCGTCTTCATCAGGAGGGGCCGTAGGGGCCGTCTTCATCAGGATGACTGAACAGAACCGCAGGGGCCGTGTAGATCAGGACCTGTTTGCTTCATGGAAGGATGAGCAGGAGGAGGAGGAGGAGGAGGAGGAGGAGGAGGAGGAGGAGGAGGAGGAGGAAGACTAGGAGGAGGAGGAGGAAGATGATGATGAGGAGGAGGAGGAAGATGAGGAGGAGGATGAAAAGGAGGAGGAGGCGGGGGAAAAGAAGGGAGCAGGAGGAGGAGGATCCCACTGCTACTGGACATGTTTAACCTGCAGTGTTGCAGAGCGTGCTGGGCTTGACGTTTTCCGCTCGTCCCCTCAATCCCAAGGAGTGCTGATGTGGTCGCCGTGCAGGAGGCTCACATTGTCGATGCTGGTGCGCGGGAAGCCGCATTTGCGTGCCCAGGGTCGACGTGCTCGCTTCTGTCCAGCTGTTCCTGTTAGCAGCGGGAGAACCTCTGGAAGCCTTTTGATTGCTAACTTTGTACATGTCGGCCTGTCGACCGTCGAGGATGTCTCTGGCCCTCTGGAGCCTGGACGTGTTGTTATGTTGCATCTTGGAGGCGTTCTTCCTAGGGGAGCGCAGCGGAGCTTGAGCTGCTCGATGCTCACCAGATGGATGATGATGCTGCCCATAAACATTTGGGACGTGGAGGCCCGATCAAGTTTTCCTGGACCACCCCTGGACGACCTGGGCCGCCAGCGTTCCCGAGCGTCAGCCCAAGTGCCACCTGGTGGCGCTCCGTTCGTGCTCTTTTCTCTCCGAGTTTGCGAAGCCGTGCGGTCTATACTCGGGACTGTCCCACTTTGTCGGGCTGCCCGGCGCCTGCCGGGGTCTAAACATGTGGTCAGTGCTTCTGCCGTCTGCTTCCGCCGCGTGCTCGACTTGCTCACTCATACCGATCTGGACTATGCCCTCGTTGCACGCCTCTCCAAACATGCTTGCGAACATACCGTGATGCGGTGTCGTATTCGTGCAAATCAGAAGAAAATGGGATGGAAACAGTGGGGTAAAAAGCTTTCTGTGAACGGAGCTGCTGCGCTTTTTCGCTATGTACATCGTCCTGGTGCCCGGCAACCCTCCTCTGTGGTGCAGCTCGCGCCAGCCAACAGCATGCATGAGATGTCGTTTCTCGAGGCTGAGTGGAAGACGTGTTGGCGGGTTGAATCCAATGGCCCTTCCCAGCGTGGTCGCGCACTGGGTCCGACAATTGAAACTTACACCACTACACCATTACACCATTCTCTGAAATGGTGTTAAGCATGCACCCTTACACCATGACACCATCCTGTCGAAAGGGCGCGCCGTTACACCATTACACCATTATGCTGAGGAAGTGTAAGCGCTACACCATTACACCCTTACGCCATTGTTAAAATGGTGTACGACTTACACCATTACACCATTACACCTGTCTGAGAAAAGGGCGTGCGCTTTACACCATTACACCATTCCGTGGAATGGTGTAAGCTTTGCACCGCTACGACATCACATCATACAATTACACACCACGGAACTCAGCACACCAATGTGTGATATTCCATTGCGAAGATGTGGCGTTCGAAACATGTCCGCAAGGCTCTCTACAGGAAAGGGAGCAGAAACGCCCTTGGCAACTCTCATGACAATTGGGAGGACGGCCGAACAGGGCTCCCAGAGGGCTCCGTGGACCCCCCCCCCACAAGGATCCTTGGGATGGTGTGGGGAGAGCGCAGTTGGCGATGCCTTTGAACTCTCGGAGACGGCCGAACAGCGCTCCGAGAGGGGTTTGGGGGAAACCTCCCCCCAAGGATTATCAGGGGGGTGGTTGTGGATATGCACTTGGCGATTCCCTGGAGTGCTCGGGGACGGCCAAACGAGGCTCCAAGAGGGTCCCGTGGAAAACCTCCCCCTAGGGATCCTGGGGGGGAGGGTTGTGAGAACGGAGAACGCATTTGGCGACTCCCTTGAAAGCCCGGAAACGGCCGAACAGGGCCCAAGAAAGCACCCTGGACCCCCCCCCAAGGATCCTTAAGGGGGCTTTGTGGAAACGCATTTGGCGACTCTTACGCCAGTTGGAAACGGCCGATCAGGGCCTCACGAGCCAGGATGTCCCTTCGGATTCTCCCCTGAGGATCCTTAAAAGGGGTGGTAGTGGAAACGCATTTGGGGAATTCCGTGAAAACCCGGAGACGGCCGAACACATAAGAGGCATGTGATAACGCAGAACTCCTGGATGTAATCAAAAGTACGCGGACAAGGTCGGATATTTTCCGGACAGGGTCAGGGGACAAGGGGAGAGTAGCACCCGTATTGTGCAATAGTGGAGGGGGAGAAGGAAGAGGAGGTGGGGAGGGGGTAGTGGAGGATCCTGGGCCGAGGACGGGTCTGTCCAGGTTCTGTGCGAGGTGTGCAGCTGGCTTCCCCTTGCCCCACTGGCGACGGCGGCGGCAGCAGCTGCGGCGACGACGACGAGGGAGCGGAGGGAGGGACGAGGGAGGGGGACGACAGTAGACGACGAGCGAGGGCCTGGAGGCAGCCGAAGAGGGCTCCGAGTGAGCCCTTTGGAAAACCCCCAGTTAAGCATCCTCAGGGGGGGGTTCTCGGGAACGCAGTTGGCGACCCCTGAGAAAGCTTGGGGGCTGCCGCAGGGGGCTCCAAGAGGGCCCTCTGGAACCCCCTCCCCTAAGGGCCCTTTAGGAGGGGGGGGACTCGGGAGACCACTACACCATTACACCATTGCACCCTTGCGCTGCTACGCCAAACCATCGCTGCACCATTACACCCCTGCGCCGCTCCACCAATTACCGAGAGGGCCCGGAAACGGCCGAAGAGGGCATCCAAGAGGGCTTTGGGAAACGCATTCCAGGACCCCCGAGAAAGGATGGAGGCGGCCGAAGGAGGGCCCCAAAGGGAGCATCTGAAAATGGAGGAGAGGAATCGGGAACGCATTCGTCGCGTCGTCAACGACACCGAAGGCAATCGGCGACGACCACGCCCACGACAAGTGTATGGCGTGATTGCGTAATGGAGTAATGGTCTAATAGTGTAAGTTTTACCCTATTCCCCAGAACGGTGTAAAGGTGTAAATCTGACGCCTGTTTCAAAATGGTGCGAATTGTGTAGTGGCGTAGTGGTGTAATGGTATATGTACGCGTACACCATTCTCAAAATAGTGTCATGGTGTCGTGGTGCAGCGGCGCACCCTTCTACAGAACGGTGTAATGGTGTAATGGTGTAATGGTGTACGTTTCAGGTACCAAACACAGGTTGCGACCACAATGGCCCTTCCCTCCAATGGCCCGAAGGCCTGGGCGAACGACCCCCTCCCCCGACCCTGGAACATCTCAAGAAAGCCCAGAGAACGCTCCCTGCGGGGACTGGATGTGGACTTGAGCAATTGCTGCCGCGTCAGCTCTTGTGACTCCCGGATGGAACTCTCGACATCTTCTGCCATTCATCTCGGCGATATAGTACCAAATCGAATGGCCGCCCATGACCACCTGTGTTTTTTTGTACTGAAGCGACCTGGAGGAGTGCGCCCGCTCGGCAAACTCCACTGCCTGTGCCGTGTCCAAGCGCGACTCAGGCGAGTTGTTTGACAACGATGACAGAAAAAATTATCGGTACTTCCGGTGTGCCATTCGTGGAAAGTCGTCGGAGCTCCCAGTTTGGCTGCAGGCTGGTCGGGCTGAGCACCACGCCGACTCGGGCAGTGATTCAGCTATCTTGCTCTTCGGCTTAAAGAAAGCGTTCGAACTCGTTCGACACTCGCACTTAATCGTCGCGGCTGAAAGGACTGGTCCCCCCTCTGTCACTTGAAGGAAAAGGAAGAGGAGCAGCAGGAGGAGGAAGGGTGTCTATCTCCTCCTTCTCCTCCTCCTCCTCCTCCTCCTCCACCTCCTCGTCCTCCTCTTTCCTCATCCTCCTCGTCATGTCACTTGAAATTGCTCGTTCTGGCCTATCGCGCGCCGCGTGTTATCGAGCTGCAGGGTGTCCGTGGCGTGCCGGTGCAGGTCGACCAGATCATTGTGCCAGGATGCCCTGTTCGCAACATGCCTCCTCCAGCTTCTGATGATGGGGCCCCTTGGTGAGGTTCGTAAGGGGTTCCCCACGGTGCCCGTAGCTATGTGTGGATAGTGTTGGGTTATATCGATGTGGTCTCGGGTGCTGGTGCGATGCCTGGTCGATCTCGTCACCGCCCTCGATCAGTCTCGTGTGCTGGCCAATACCCCGTCTACTCAGCAAGCTTTGCAGCGCAAGCTCGTCTCTGCCAAGGCACTCGGCGTCTACTCTGAGCGCAATCTAGGAGCTAGTTCTTCTGCACTTGATTAACCCGTGCTGCCCGCACCCCAATAGCGAAAGCCAGGCTCAAGAGGCTGATGCGTGTGCATAGGGATAATTACGACCGAGGCGTCGATCCTATACGGGCGTCCGTAGGTAGAGGCAAAGGAGGAAGAGGTTAGCTTCTCCTTTTCCTGGGCGCCGCGCGGAGAGCAGCGCGGTAAGTTGTTCATGCCAATGCCTGCGCCGATGCGTTAGCGGTGTCTGACGATGTCATGGTGATGTGTGCGGACCTCTTCCCACAGGATGCACCCGCAGGGCGCACGCGCACGCCAGGAGAAGCTGCAGCACGCGGTGCGGCGAGCGCCTCTCGGGACCACGGCCTCTCCTGCCAGGGCAGCCCGGGGCACCGGCAGCGCGGAGAGAGCTCGACAGGCTCCACGTCGTGGCCTCGGCCCCCCTCGGGGGCCGAGGCGGCCAGCGGGTCTCGCACGCCGGCGCTCCTCCTCGCGCCCGTCACGGCCTTCATGCACGGAGGAGGAGGAGGAGGAGGAGGAGGAGGAGGAGGAAGAGGAGGAGGAGGAGGAGGGGGAGGAGGAGGAGGAGGAGGAGGGGGACGAGGGGGAGGAGGAGGCGGAGGGCCCTCATGCCCGTCAAGACGCTCCAGAAACGGCCTGCTGCTGCTGCTGCTGCGCGTCCGGGGGGCCCCGCATCTCTTCTCGGCAGGCCATCAAGGGGTCCTTCTCGGCGGTCTGGGCCTCCCTCAACCGTGTGGGCACCGATGCTAACGACCTGTACGCTTGGACGTTCCCCAACGGCCAGGTCATCGACACCACCCAGCTGTGCCCCAGGTCCGTCCAGGCGCTCGTCGAGAGGGCCATGGTGGCCTGGCAGTTGCAGAAGGTCTGGAGCAGTTCGAGGTTCCTCAGCTTCTGGAGAGCGTCTGGTTCGAGCCGCTGCGCTCGCTGCTTCCTCTGGAACGATTTCGGCCTGCGAGGCTGCTCACCTACGTTCGGTAAGTATCGGGGCCCAGTGGCCACAGGCGCGACAGCACGCGTAGGGCTGGACCCAGGACCCCAGCTGTTTGCTCTGCATGTCTTCACGAGGCACAGCCTGCTACAGGTACACGTCGTTAATTTCTAACCGTGCTTATTTCTAACTGTGCTCGTTTCTATTTGTTCCTGGCCCCCTCGTGGCCAGGAAGAGGCCCAGGATAGAATAATTAGAAATGAAAGGATCTTGGCCCCCCCAAAATCAAAGACCTTTCGAATAACTAGACATGAACAATGTGTATGCGCTGTGCAAGCACATCCCTGAGCTCGTCGCGGACGTGCCCCCGCTCGTCCACGCCTTCGCTGACAGGGCGTGCGCTGAAGCTATCACTGGGTGGCTCGTGTTGGCCAAGCCGCCTGTGCCGGCCGATCGGCTCCAGTATCCGGCGCAACCCTGGCTGAAGTGGCAAGGCAGCCCTCATCGATTTGCAGGCGACATCGATTTGAGTGGACGTTGTTTCGAGGAGCTACCTTCGGGCGTTGGCAGAACTGGGTTTAGTGGAACCTGGTTTAGTGATCGGTACCGGGGGCGGCCCCCCGTCCCATTTCCACTAACCGGAACTGCCGTCACCCGAAAAAACACCAGCTATGGCAAACCTGGTTGAGTGATTCTTGCCAATTCAAAGGCTCCGGGGCCCTACCACTAACCGGTTCCCCTTACCTGGGGTCCTTAGCTGAAGTGGCAAGGCAACCCTCCTCGATCTTCAGGCGACATCGATTTGAGTGGACGTTGCTTCGAGGGGAGTACCTGTTGATCCTGTGGCTGGTTTCACCCTCGCGGCGGCGGTGGGCGCGTGCGCGCTCTCGGGTCTCCCTCCAGGGCCGCACAAGGACACCGACGGAGGAGCACTGCCCCCGCGGTATGTTACAGGGCAGCTTTTCATACGTAGGATGTTAAAATCTAATATACAGGATGAAAATGTATGAGTAAATGTATGCACGAACTCATCGTTGTTTCTGATACTAAATCCCTGCATGTCTAATACATGATCCGCACGCGGAGCATGTATTAAAAACGGCACTGTACGCTACAGTGCGGGCGCGGCCGCAAGAAACCCAACCCTGAGAATCCGTGCGCGAGGTGCACCTGAGGGGAAACCTGGAGCACCCTGGACGCAGCAGCTCCTTCAACGACCGCGGGAAGTCGCCGCGCAGCGCGCGGAGCGAAGAGACCCAGGACTCCCTGACGAAAAGCGCATGGTTTCTTGATGCGCGCCCCCACCGTACTCTATGCGATTCCTCCCGTGTCTATCGCCTCTGACTCCAGCTTCGCCGTCCCAGGCGTTCGCCTGCCGGGCGAGGAGCGCACCGCTCGTGCGGGATGTTCCTGGGCGCCTCTCTGGAGGCTCGCGTGGCAGAACATTCACGACTGGAGTGGACCCTAGACATAGTGCGTGGTCATGTAACGCTTGGCGGCGCGCACAAGGGGGTGGGGGGAGGGGGGAGGGCTTTCTTGGAAGGAGGGCTGCTTCTTAGAAGGCGCCGGCCTTACATCTAGGATGAGGCCCGCGCCTCTAAGAAGCGGGGTGTCTAAGAAGCCCCCCCCCCTCCCCCCACCCCCCTCTGCTCGTGGCCGAAACGCGGCGGCAAATGCTCGACGGGGTTCGGGCAGCTCGCCACACGGAAGGCAGGGCAACACTCTCGCCGCTGCAGCCGCGGCAGCGCGCACTACGCGCACGCGCAGGCCCGCGGTGGCCTACGGACAGCTCCTCCACGCAGCACCAAGAGCTTCGTCAGAGGATTTGGGTGCCTGGGTGCCTGGTATGGGAGCACTTCGGCTTCGGCACCGCCTGTATCCGAGGCTATGCCTCCTCTCGGCCTCGCCCTGAAGCTCCGCCGCTTCCTCCCTCCTCTTCTCTCTGCCGAATTCAAGCTTCGCGCGGCCCGCTCAGCTGCGACGGGAAGAGGTGCGCTCTCTTTTTTTTTTTTGTCTGCAAGCCGTGAGGCGGGACCAATGACACTCTTTACTGCTGCTGGGCTGCCTGAGCAGCCATTTCACGTGCTTGGATGCGAGCGAGAATCGCTTGCATCCCAGGAGACTGTACGAGGCCCTCCAAGCCAACTCCGGAAGAGGTGCGCTCTCGACCCGCGGATCAAAAAAGGGTCTGGTGCGGGAGCTGTGCTGCCGAGCGCATCTGGATCCCGGGCAGCGTGGGCGGCGTGCTCGAGCCCCCGAGGTCCGTCCCCCTCGGGGACTCGGCAGCGCCCGGCCGCCCACCTCTGTTCGCGAGAACCGAGGCCCCTAACCATCTAGGAGGACGAAGAGGAGGAGGAGGAGGAGGAGGAGGAGGAGGAGGAGGAGGAGGAGGAGGAGGAGGAGGAGGAGGAGGAGAGGGAGACGAAGAGGAGGAGGAGGAAAACGAGGAGGAAGAGAAAAACAACAAGAAGGAGGAGGAGGAGGAGGAGGAGGCCCCTAACCATCTCCGATTGCCTAGAGGTCACGGGGCTCACAGGCGTTTCGCTCCCGCTGCTCCGGCGGACCCCACCGACGCGAGACTCATCGGCTGCATCTCTTGCAATGCCTGTGCCCTTTCTGCCCTCGGAGGCCTGCCCGGGGCCTCACCGCTCCCCGCCCGCCTGCGGCGCCCAGGCGGGGGAACTGTGTTGAACCTGGGCTCGCCGAGGAGGAGGAGGAGGAGGAGGAGGAGGAGGAGGAGGAGGAGGAGGAGGAGGAGGAGGAGGAGGAGTGGAACATCGGAAACGTCAGCCACAAGGTTCACAGCGTCGGGCC